CGAGTTTAAGCACTCTCAAAAAAACAAAACTATCGTTATAATCACTGAAGCTGTATACACTGTTAAATGAATCTCTTACTTACATTGTATGTACATCTGCGCTTTGTTGTTTATGATGAGAGAATTCGCAAGAGTCCGGAATTCAGTCGGCGAACGCGCGCACACTCAACAAAACTGATCTGTTTCAACGATGACTCATCTGAACGCTTCTGATTGGCCATTGCATTCCTAAGCTCAACAGATATGTGTGTGATTGGTTAAAATGCGCAACACTGTAAAAACGCCTAAAATGAAATACGGTGCAACATGAGCAGATCTTAACTTAATGCCGCAATCGACACGGTCTATTCATATTCACTTTGTTAGCAACAGACGTAATAGATTAAATTTGTTTGTGCAGGGGCATTTTTGTCCAATTTAGTGGCATTTTTGCCCCAAGTCCCCATGGCCAGCCTTACACACACTCCGCCTATGATCGACAGTTTTAGCTATGTAAACAAAAGGATACCTGTGTTTAGACAAACTATAAAACAAATCACTAGCATCAAGTTTCAGCCTCAGTCATTCTACAATCAAGTTGATAGTGAACAGGTGTGGCGTCATGTTCCTTTAAGGCCCCAAAGTGATTTTTTTGGCTAAAAGAACTTTTTTAGCGTTTCTATTCTGTGCCTGATTAGAAATCCTACATTATTGCTTGTTGTTCTGAACCATAAAAGTGCATCTTCTATGTGAATTGGGACACAGCTTTATTGTGCGCTGCTGCTTCTGAACCTGCTGTTTTCTCACTTCCAGTCATTTTTTTCCTCAGGTTGGCAAAGTGCTGGAGAGTTTCTTAAGAGCGAATAATACTGACATCTTCTCTGTTAAAGTCACGAAAATTAAACTGGTATCACCATAGGACTGAGTCAAAAATTGGCTGAGAGAAACAGACATGAATAAATGCTCATCACCGCCGAACTTTAGATTATATATGTTGGTGGTTCAACAAAATGCAAGTGTCTGTGTATGTGTGAAGCAAACTATGAAATGAATGTGTAAGAAAAGTTCAGATTTATTATCTGTTCTCGTGGAATTCCTTGTTCGTCCTTCATTTGCGTGAAAGGCAATCCGCTGCTGCTGTTTTGACATTGTCTTAATTTTTCTGTTTTTGATATTTGTGTATGAGGATCGCACTGAAATTATGAGGAAGAAATCTTGTGAACTCAAACAGTAAGAAAATGAAAACAAGCAAATGATTAAAACTCTCATTGTTGGGTTTCGTGATCATTAGTGCTCGGTGTGTTTCCTGCTGCTGCTCCATGACTTTGTTCAGTAGATGTTGCATGTTGCATGCAAGTTTTTCTATGAAATATGGAAACCAATGACCAGATTTTGTCAGCAGCTGCAGAGTTTGGCCTCCACTGTCCTGAAACCCATTCAACTATGAGAAGAAATTCTTATTTTATACCAGACTGCTTCATCAGGACCAGACACCAGTGTGAGACGGCTTTATAAAATAATGTCGTCATTGCATGATTTTTAATCACCTACGGTTTTAATTAGTTCTGTCTTTTTAGGACAATTTCCCAGACTTAGAGAGCATGTTTTTATGGAAGCCCATTTCTGCCACTAAATTAAAAAAAAAAAGATTTTTTTTTTTTAATCTCACAATATATAGAGAGATATAAACTCACAATTCAGACTTTTTTCTCAGAATTGCGTGATATAAACTCATCATTGTGAGTTATAAAGTCAGACTAGCGGCGTACAATCTTGCAATTGCAAGGGAAAAAGTCAAAATTGCAAGATAAAATCTCCAATTCCGACTTTTTTTTTTCTCGCAATTGTGAGTTTATATCATGCAATAATGACTTTATAACTCGCAACTTCGTTTATATCGCAAGTTTGACTTCATTTCTCAGAATTGTGACGAACTCGCAATTGCGTTATAAAGTCACAATTGCGAGATATATCACAATTATGAGTTTAAATCTCACAATTCTGACTTTATTTCTCAGAATTGCGAGTTTAGCTCAATTTTTAGTTTTTTTCTCGCAATTGTGAGTTTATATCACTCGTGACTTGTTTTTCTCGCAAATCTGACTTTTTTCCTTGCAATTGCGAGTTTAAATCTCGCAGTTGCAGCTATTAATATAATATAAACTCGCAATTCTGAGAAAAAAAGTCACAATTGTGAAATATATCTTTTTTTGTTACAACTGTGACTTTATATCACGCAATTCAGACTTTATTTCTCAGAATTGCGAGTTTAGCTCAATTTTTAGTTGTGAGTTTATATCATGCAATACTGACTTCGTACAACTTCGAGTTTATATCGCAATTTTGAGAAATAAAAGGCAGAATTGTGAGTTTGTATCACACAATGAAGAGAAAAAAGGCAGAATTGCGAGATGTAAACTCGGAATTGCACGAAAAAAAAATCAGAATTGTTAGATAAAAACTAAGTCACAATTACTTTTTTCATTTTTTATTCAGTGGCGGAAACAGGCTTCCATATGTTTTATTTAAAGGAAATAAACACAAGGATATTAGCTTTTGCTGCAAGACTCCTGAAGTCTCTGAAATGACTTTTATTTTGTAACTTTCGCAGTTTTTACTGAAATCACTCACCCATTATCCAGTTTGACTAAATAGACAGTGTGAATTCACAAAACACTTGCTGGAAAAAAAAAGATCATCTTCTGAATCTGAAATAAATATTTTCATACAGAAGACAAAAGAACAGTTTCCATTTCACGTTTTATAAAATGTCAGGGGAAAATAGCATACAAGCATTTACTGTATAAAAACAATAATTTAGCACTAGCTGCTCATGTGTATAAAATTGTATAAAAGATGTTAAATAGTTAAATATTAACTTAATATGCATCCCAACATCTAAAGTCTGCAATAATATTAGATCTGGGTCGCTAAAGACATTTTGCAGTCAAACAAGTCGTATTAAATACAGTCAAATGAATGTGTTTGGATCAACGCAGCAACACTGACCACCAAAACGAACGTCTCTCTGACCCAGCAGATGTTTAGTGTTAAAAATAATTACGATTTAACAAGCATTATAAAGCGTCACATAACATTCAAAAGTGCCATCAGTCGCTCACTCACATCTTCACTATTTAAAAGTAAAGCGAAAGTGCCTCTAAATCCATTATCATTTTAAAACAAAGTACTTTTAATAGATCTTGTGCATCAGAGTTTGCACTTTAGCACCCTTATTATCATGCATTTCTCATGTTGTCCTTTTGTAAATTGAAGGCCACGTTGTGTGTTGTAAATTAAAAACAGTTTTTGGAGTCAGATTTCTCGTCCCGTGTGAAACATGATCTACAATGACTGACTCGCAGCATCTGTCCTATTCCCACGTCTCCTCCTTAAATGCCACTCAAACCCAGAGAGCAGGTCAAATGTAGTCCAGTAGGTGTGAAGGTCGGTGAATGCGAGGCGTTTTCCCCATCACCTTATTTTCCGTACCCGACAGTCACTGTATTTTGTGCGAATGCTGTTCGTTTGCGTCTCAGTTCGCTCTCATCTTGCTGGAGATCCAGTTTGTGTAGTTTGTGACACGCGTGTAAACGCCAGGCGTGTCTTTCTTCCCGCAGCCGTCACCCCAGCTGATCAAACCCATCAGAGTCATCCTGCCATTTTTGGGACACACCAGAGGACCACCGGAATCCCCCTGAAGAACGAGCAGAAGAAACCGATCAATCAACACGCACAAATCATTCACGTAACGCACAGTGTTGGGGTTACCGCATTACTTTTTTAAAGTAACTAGTAAAGTAACACATTACTTTTTAATTTAAGAAGGAAATATCTGAGTTACTTTTTTAAAAAGTAACTCCAGTTACTTTGTTTTCCCATGTATTGACTGACAGCTCTGGTGTTGCCATGTTGAGAGAAATCGGGAGTAAGTGCAGAGCGTTGTGTGAACATGATCTTACTGTAGTTCTAGACTAAATATGAACATGTTTACTCATCTCACCTGCACCTAAACAGATTCAGTATTCCTCAAAATGAATAAAAACAGTCAAATGCAAACTCAGATCATTATGCAAACCTGCAATAGTTAACCCTTGTGCAACCTTTTGGACATTTTTGTCTTTTTCAGTTTTTTTTAAATTTTTTTATCATTTTGCCTGTGTTATTGCCAAATGCATAAATTTTGGCACAGGTGTGTATTTTTATTGGAATTTTACTATTTCACTTCAATTTCCTTTAATAAATCTGTTTTGCACTCGGTACAACATTTTTTTCCTCTCAGGACCTTAAGGACAAAAATGTCCCCATTGAAACCCATTAAATCTGCTATTTTTAATTGCTTTGCCATTTAACTGTAAAATGATGCATTTTTTGTTAATAGGCTTTCATTCAGTTGGCAAGGCTTTAAAATTAAATTTTTGACTATTTTTTACCAGATGGTGCCATTTTTTTCAGGTTTGGCCTATAAAGCAAATACTCGCTTTATTCCTGTTTTCTGCTTCTGCATATTATAGAGCCAATTGGATAAATAATGCAGCTATAATTGTGTGGGTGTGTTGGTATGGATGTCAGAGTGTGGTTTGTATGTGTTATAACTTTTTTTTGGTTTCACTTTTTAAAGTTTTTTTACTTCAACAATAATCTGCCATGGGTCTTCTTTTAAAATGAGACCAAACTTAACTCTGTGCTCCCAAGCTTCAAGTTTTTATGACATGGACATTTTTGTCCACAATGGACCTATATGTAACTTTTTTTAATTGATGCACAAGGGTTAAATAAGACAAATATCGTTTATGTATTTAATCCTATTTTATTAACCAATGTCTTTGCTACTGACCTTCGATGATCCAATTCAGCCATACTAATAAGCAAAAATGACGTGTTTCATTTGTGTTATTGCTGAATAGTGTTGAACTTTTCTTCTCCTGTGTCATATTCTTCATGTGATTTGTCTGAGCTGCGCCCTCTATTGTACAGACGTGAATTTACATTTCCTTCAGCCTGAGGCTCATTCATTTCACTTTTGGTGTGAAAGGGCTTTTACATTTGTAAAATAACTTTTTTATATTAAAAACAAACAAGCAAGCCCTGCCCAGATTTAAAAAGTAACTCAAACGCATTAATTTCCATAAAAAGTAACTATGTAACATAATTAGCTACTTTTTTAGGGAGTAACACAATATTGTAATGCATTACTTTTAAAAGTAACTTTCCCCAACACTGGTAATGTAAGCCGAGGCTGAATGTGTGGTTTGTCTGCTAAATGACTAAATGTAAATGTAAATGTGTGGTCACCTTGCAGGCGTCGTCCAGGCCGCGCGTGTCTCCGGCGCACAGCATGTTTGGGGTCACCAGACGGCCAGCCAGCTTCTCCGGGACACACTGTTCCTGCGGCCACAAGCGCACCCGACCGCGCTTAATTCGCTCCGAGTAAAACGGAGAAACTGAGAGAGACGACGACAAGAAGAAAGAAAAATGATCATAAAGTTCCTCAGACACTTTAGTGTTATTTGGACTATCAAGAAGCACTGCAAAAAATCTTAATGAGTGTTTTTATCTTGTTTTTCAGTTAAAATACCTTAAAATCCTTCAAACAAGGTAAGTTTACTTAAGCAACACTGCACAAGATTTTAAGACTGGTTTAAGCCTTTTTACTTGTTTTTAAAATGTTATTTTTTCTTACTGCACTGGCAGATTCATTCACTTTTATAAATGTATTCTTTTAATGCACTGGCAGATTTTTCACTTTTAAAATGTATTTTTGACTTTTTAATTTTTGTCTTACTGTACTGGTAGCTTTTCTCTTATTTAAATTTTTTTTTTTTTTTTTTATTGTCTTACTGTGCTGGCAGATTTTTCACTTACTTATTTATTCATGTATTTTTACTGCACTGGCAGATGCTCTCACTTATTAAAAATAAATAAATAAATTCTTACTGCTCTGGCAGATTTTTCACTTATTCTTAATAAAGAATTGTGTCTTTCCCATTTAAAAAAAATAATTTTGTCTTACTCCACCGGCAGATTTTTCACTTATTTTCATAATTTTTTTAAAATTATTATTATTAATTATTTTTACAGCAACAGCAGATGCTTTCACTCATTTTTAAAGCATGTGAAAGAATCTACCAGTGCGGTAAGACAAAATACACTCGCATCTATTAAAAGAAGTCTTAATTTCTTGTGCAGTGTTGCTTCTCATGTAAATGGATCTTCTTTGAAGGAGTTTTAGATAGATTCTACAAATTTGAATTAAAAAAAATGTTTAAAAAAAACAGGTACATTTTTTTTTGCAGTGAGATATGTACGTGTGGCACACAGTACTTCTGATAAGAAATCTTACACTCTTCCTCTTTCCCGTAACCAGAGATCTCACACTCCGTCCAATCCGGTAAAACCAGGTTAGGTTCTGGTAAACATGCAGGCAGAACTTCTGGAGAGTGAACGGCACAGATACCGAACTCACTCTTCAACTTGAGCAGAGCTGAAGACACGAAGAAGAAGACAGGAAATCACTCACAACTCAAATGACATTTATAACTTTATAAATACTGAAATGATTACCAAATTACAGTACATGCTAATATACTCTATTAGTATGTGCTATTATAAAACACGTAAGAGAAAATCCACATTTCATAAACACAAACAATATCAAAACCTCTTTTAGGATTAGTCAATAGATTGTTTTTCTAAAGTCTAAATTATAATATTAAACACACTGCCATTCTAAAGTTTGGGGTCAGAAAGATTCTACTGAAAATACATTTATTCATCAAGGATGCATTAAATTCATCAAAAGTGACAATAAAGACATTTCAAAAGAGTTCTATTTTAAATTTTGAACTTTCTATTCATCAAAGTATCCTGAAAAATACAATGTAACAACTGTTTTGAACATTGATAATAATCAGAAATGTTTCTCGAGCAGCAAATCAGCATATTAGAATGATTTCTGAAGATCATGTGACACTGAAGACTGGAGTAATGATGCTGAAAATTCAGCTGCGCATCACAGAAATAAATTACATTTTAACAGATATTCACATTGTTCACATTCACATTGAATTCTAATAATATTTCCCTATTTTTACGCCATTTTTAATCAAATAAATGCAGCTTTGGTGAGCAGAAGAGACTTAAAACCATAAAAAACCCTACTGACCCCAAATTTTTAAACACTAGTGTATATTTAAATATATATAAAAATATATATACATAAAATATAAAAGCATATAATAACAGCAGCCCTGCCACCAGCTGACTGTGAGCTGATGATCGTAATAATCATCAGGATCTGTTTTCTGTGTGTAAGAGTGCAGAATGGATTCTAGTGGAGTGTGTGTGATTTGTCAGTGAATGATTTGAAGTCTCACCGATATCATTGTCATACGTCTCGTCGTCGTACTGCTCATGAATCCAGTATTTCTCCACGTCAAAGATCTGCTCGCTGCTGGAGTTCTGAAGCCTGAAGGTTCGGCCCAGAACCACTCGAAGACGATTCTCATCAAATCTGAACACAGATTATTAAAAATAATAAATACATACATTTTTAAAACTTCAAGATCTTTGTCTTGTTTTCAGAAAAAATCTTTAAAACATAAATTCCCCTTTTTCCCATTATAGGGTTTCTGCAGGTTTTATGAAGGTAGATTTAGGACTATCAGACCAAGAAAAGAATATTTAAGCAATAAACTGAAGGAAACACATCTAGTCAATTTAAATGTTTGCACAATGAGTTGCATTAGCAATACTTTAAACATTCAAACATACATTTTCAATTGGTTCCCATTACTTTTTAATTCATTTTATAAAAGAAAAAAGGCTTGAATACAAAAAATAAAGAAAGAAATTGATCAAAATGAAGTGAGTTTGATTAAAACAAGAACATACAGTGGGTACGGAAAGTATTCAGACCCCCTTAAATTTTTCACTCTTTGTTATATTGCAGCCATTTGCTAAAATCATTTAAGTTAATTTTTTTTCCTCATTAATGTACACACAATGGATCTGAAAAAATCTACTTAGTTAAAAGGGAAGCTTTCATATATCCTATTGATATTATATTTGTTCTTGTTTTAAGCATAAACTTGCTTCCTTTTGTTCAGTTTGTCGTTCATTTACATTTGCATCTCAAGTTAATCTATCTTTAATGTGATATATTAAAGGGTTAGTTCACCCAAAAATGTTCACCCAAATTCTGTCATTAATTACTCACCCTCGTGTCGTTCCAAACCCGTAAGACCTTCGTTCATCTTCGGAACACAATTTAAGATATTTTTGATGAAATCTGAGGGCTCTCTGAGCCTCCCATAGACAGCAAGGTAACTACCACGTTCAAGGTCCAGAAAAGTACCGAGATGATCGACAAAGTAGTCCGTGTGACATCAGTGGTTCAACTGTAAAGTTATGAAGCTACGAGAATACGAGGAAAACAAAAATAACGACTTTATTTAGTCATTACGCCGGATCTGGGTCAGCGCCGCCACAGGCTCACGTCATGATACTGTCGTGAACGCGCGTCCAAAGTGACGCAGTAGAGACGAAAATGTGGAATAAAGTCGTTATTTTTGTTTTCTTATTGTGTTCCGAAGATGAACGAAGGTCTTACGGGTTTGGAGCAACACGTGGGTGAATAATTAATGACAGAATTTTCATTTTTGGGTGAACTAACCCTTTAAGTAGGAAGTGAAACTGACACACACACACACACACACACACACACACACACCTCTCCAGGAAGCAGTGAGCGGCGGTGAGGATCCAGCAGGAGTCGATGAGGACACCGCCGCAGAGGAAGTTGTATGATTTAGCGCGTGGCAGATAGACGGTGAGGGCAGCCTGCCACGGCTGCTCTCTGATATCGCTGACCTGACCTCCACGAATCCTGAACATGGGCAGAGAGTTTGAAGGAGCTTCAACCCGCTGACCGCAGGAACCTGAGCGCCAGAAAACACTCAAGAGATCACAATCCCGAAAAAAACAGAGTCACACATGTGAGAGAAAACACCACTCGCTTTCTTTACAAAATATAAAAGTCTAGTTATCTTTCACCGTCTCACCTTGAGTGTTGGTGGTTATCGGGGCTCTTGGGCCAAGTGTGGTGATTGACGGAGTTTTCCTCGCTGTGGAAGCAAGACAAATACTGTTAAAAAAGCACCCACACACAAAATTTAGAAAAATTAATATGTCAGGACTGATTTAAATGATTAAGGGCAAATTTTAACCTAAACGTGGCGCATATTGAGTCCACATTACATTCACTCAGCTATTTTAGGAACTAAAATTCAATTGAATAATAATAATAAAAAAATAATAATAATAATTATTATTATATTAGTTAAAGCATGACAACAATAATAATTATTTTTATCTTTATTATCCGTTTATTTAATTTTGTGTTATTTATTCACTTATTTTTATTAATTAGTCAAATCAATAATAATAACAATAATAATAATTATTATTATTATCATATAATAATAATTATTATTATTATTAGCTGATTATAAAAATTAACAAATATATTACTGTGGTAAATTACAATTGTATTGTGAGATAAAATAAAAAGTTACAATACTACTATTTGTCTTAAATTCTTCACTTTCAAACATTTTACGGCTTTAAATATATCTAACAAGGTTATTATCATTAACTAAACCAATAAAAAAGATTTTCATTGCTTGAAATAAAAACAGACATTAACTGAAATAATATTTTAAAAAATTCAGCTAGTTGTCAAAGCAACATTTCTCATTTTCATTTAGTTTAGCTAAAAACTGAGTTATTGGACTAAAAAAACTAAAACCAAAATAAAAATAAAAACTACTGACATTAAAAAACAATGACTAATAGAAATGATGAAAACACAACAAAATTACTAAAATATTTATCTATCTATCTATTTATTTATTTATTAATAATCTCTATGATACAAAAAAAAAAACAAGCTTTTATTTGGTGGAATACTTCCAAAATGCTGTAAACGTCTCTCCACAAAAATGGTGGAAATGATACAAATGCTAACCCTTGTTTGGGGAAACCTTCAATCCCTCCAAGACTAAACAGTGAAGTGCATCAGTGACTCATGTATTGTATTGATCAGCTGTCATGGCAGCAGTGCAGACTTACGGCACTTAGGGACGTCACAGAGCTCCCAGGTCAACTGAGACCCTTTATAGACGTGACACCAGGGGCCCAGGTCACCATCCGGGTTCCTGTGAGGGGAAACAGCCAGAGAGTTAGAGATGGAGACCTGATTTCTGATGCTTTAGGAACATTGAGGATGAGACTTTACAGTGTTTTTATCACACTTAAAGGTTAAGAGCTGTTGTTGGGCCTACGAAGTGAACAGAAACGCTTTAACTATGGTTAAAGCAATGTTGTGACTGACTTTATGATACAGTAATGGTACTTTGATATAGATACATATATATGGTGTTTTTATGCAAAACAAAGACGTTGAATTTTTGTGTAATAATATTTTGATTATATGTAAGTTTTATTTACACAAATGTGCATTGCTCCAAGTTTTGTGGCATTTAAAAATGAATTTATAATTTCAATCCTTAAAGCAGCTGAAAAAAAAATGCCTTAAAACTTTCTAAATTACTTGCAATATATATTAAGCACTGCTTAGGTTTTCTATTTTAATGTGTTATAATTGGCTTTTATTTATTTTAGTATTTATTTCTCTTACAAAAAAAATATTTTAAAAAATGTTTACACACACATATATATATTTTTTTGAGTTTGACTTTGAGTTGTGTTTAACAATGATGCATGTTTGTTATGCAAAGAAATTTAATAAGGGTTTTTTTTTTTTTTTTTTTAATTGTGCTGAAGTTTAAAGAAACGTTCAATCACAACATGTCAAATTTATAAAGAAACACATCCTGGCGTGAAAGCTGGAACTAGTTAATGTTAACGCATTTCTAATTTAATTCAATGCATAATTCACTGTACCTGCAGAAGTTGTGGCTGCCGATGCCGATCTCTCTGGCGTCGGACCTCCATGCGTTGTAGATCTTTCGAGACACTGCAGGTGAATCCCATGACAGACACTTCAAACCGCTGCGGGTGACGGCTTTCGTCCCTCGGTAGGTCTGACCGGATCCCCGTGCGCACTCTAGATAGGGGTCTGAAACAACACGCCATTAGTACACACTATATGGATATGGATATGCATGTCTGTGTGTGTTGAGTGTTTGTACCGATTATGCAGGTCGGTAAAGAGCAGAACTCCCATGAGATCTGAGCCTTTTTATAAACGTAACACCAGGGTTTAGCGTCTCCATCTGGATTCCTGAGGAATAAAACACAACCCAAACATGATTATTATTAATATACTCACAAACAACACAATGCAGCTCAATGCATGAAAGCAAAAATAATTTTTTTGGTTTAAAAGCATTGTGAAAACAATTTGCAAATTGCACGGAAGAGCAATATGACACCAGTGTTTCATTTCATGCATCTGCGAATAAAGGCTGGAGGAAGTGCGTGTGCACCTGCAGTAGTTGTGATTTCCCAGTCCCAGTGTGTTTGCCTCTGGTCTCCTGGCGGTGAACTTCTTCCCTCGGAGTGAGCTGGAATTCCAGTTAATACACTCCAGTCCTGACACACTCATGCTCCAGGTGCCACGGTAACCCGACCCCTGACCCCTGGAACATCGCTCAGTTGTGTCTGAGAGAAACACAAGAAAACATACCATCAAAATTAGACTTATTAACATTTATGTTATCAATTATCAACTGTTGTATGCTTTTGTTGAATGATTTACACGTGTAAAACCCAAAGAGAATCTCAATAAGGGTGATAGTAACTAATAATACTACTAAAAGAGTAAGTTACACTAGTTATACTAATTTACTAGCAACTAATAATACTAAAAAGAGTAAGTTACACTGACAACTAATACTACTAAAAATAGTATGTTATACTAATTGCGCTAATTTTACTAGCAACTAATAATTCTAAAAATACAAAGTTATACTAGTTTTACTAGCAAATAATGATACTAAAATTAGTAAGTTATACTAATTCCGCTTATTTTACTAGCAAGTAATGATACACTAAAAATAGTACGTTTTACTAGTTACACTAATTTTACTACCAAGTAGTGATACTAATACTATACTAGTAAGTAGATACTAATAGTAAGCTATACTAATTACACTACATTTATAAGCAACTAATGATACTAAAAAAGTTATGTTACTTAGTTACAAGTTAGTAAGTTATACTCGTTAAACTAATTATACTTAAAAGAGTAAGTTACACTAGGTATACTAATTTACTAGCAATAAATAGTACTAAAAATAGTATGTCATACTAGTTCTACCAATTTTACTAGCAAATAATGCTAAAAATAGGAAGTTATACTGGCAAATAATACTACTAAAACTAGTATGGTATACTAATTATGCAAATTTTACTAGCAACTAATAATTCTAAAAACAGTAAGTTATATTAGTTTTACTAGCAACTAATACTATTAACAACAGTAAGTGTACTAACTATTAGTTAGTGTACTAGTTACACTAATTATGCAAGCAACTACTGATACTAAAAATAGTAAGTTATACTAATTACACTTATTTTACTAGCAAGAAATGATACACTAAAAATAGTACTAGTTACGTTTTACTCGCAAGTAATGATGCTAAAATAAGTTATACTAGTTACTCTATATTTATTAGCAACTAATGATACTAAAATAAGTTTTAAGTTAGTAAATTATACTAGTTATACTAGCTCACGAAAAATAGTAAAAAAAAAAAAAAAAAATTTGTATAACTAAAAACCTCTAAACAGTGATAAATAGCAGTATTTGCTACAAGGTCAATTGCTGATGACTTACTGATTTCACACTGTGTGCCTGTAAACCCGGGCGGACACTGGCAGATGAAGTCACTGGAGTAAACAGCTTCTTTACACGTCCCTCCATTATAACACTTAGACACGAAACATTCTGAAAAACAGAACAATAAACATCTGGGTGTCCATCGCAGACTGTTTCTGAGTTTAATAAATGACATTTATTTTATTGCTTAGAAATGCTATTCTACGTTTGCTACGAACATTTTTGGTCTTTCCAAAGTATTCGTAATTAATTGGGTGTAAAGTGGTTTTGCATAATGATTACATCATTTTATATTCAGAAATAGAACAACTTTTACAACATAAGGATCAATAAATTGTGGTCAAGTCGTCGTACGGATCATACTGTGGCATAATTCAAAATCACACGTTTTTAATTCCAGTGATTTTTCCGTGACCAGAGGGTGACTCATGGGGAGGAGACGCTCTGTGTGACTTTACTCTCAAATTGAAATGATTTGAACTAAAACAGGTGGTGCTGCAGAAATGCTGTGTTTTTCATTCAGTGAACAGAAACACACACACAAAGGGAAACATAAAACATACACCTTGTGTACTTTATATACACTTATTATTTTATCAATAAAACAGTAAATGGTCCTTTTTCTTTAAAAAAGGTAAGTCTATTATACAGATCTTTATGACAGAGCGTGTGATCACTCACTGGTCACCGGTATCTCATGACAGCGTACTCTTGCTCGAACGGCGCAGCGGCAGAATTCAACTTTCTGAGCCTTCCATCGCAACCACGTCGCCCCAATGTCTCTGACCGCGGCCGAATTAGCGTCCACACAAGCGTCTGACACACACAGACACAAAATGACAAGGAAATTAAGACATAATGGTTGTGGTCAGGGATAGATGCAAATGAAATGACTCAAGCCTTCTCCTCCACATCAGACTGGGGAAAGACAGAGAGGACAGAAACAAACAAAGGTCAAAAGGTGCTTCAGTCTGGAATGAAAGACAGCGTTCTGAGCAGAAGACACAGTCTTGATGTGTTTGTCATGAAAGCTGAAGTTCTGCTTGTGAATGTGTGACATGTATGTTTTTCCTGTGTACACAGCGCCCCCTAATGGACAACAACATACTGAGGATATGACTGCATTTGTTTGCCGTATACATTATACAGCTTACTATTACAGTTACCATCTTGAAAACAAAAACATTCCATTTTTAATCAATTTTAAAAATACTTTTGGCAGTCATATGAGTCAAATTATAAGTAGAATTGATATATAATGATTTAATCAAGAGCCATATGAATGAACTCAGTTAAGATGACAGTATGGAACAGTATCAAAAGAAACGACAACAACAACAAAAAAAAACATCTTAATTTACATATAACCGATTTAAAAACATTGTGGGATTCGAATCGATTCTAAATCTGTTCAATTACATAAACTGTTTGAATGAACCAAATCACTACAATGAATTGGACTTTTCATTGCCACTTATAAATCTAGGTCGGGCTACAGCGCTACTCGTTGGTAAAGGTAGCTAGTTATTATTAGAAAAGCCATAACAGCATATTACACAATATAACACAGCTGTCTTTAATTTACTGTTAACGCTACTGAAAGTTAGGTTAGTAGCGTTACAGTCAAAAGATGCAATTGATATTTCAATTCAAATATTTCAAATTTAGACACAAAAGCTACTGACAAATATGATACTGAATGCTTAAGCCAGCCTTGATTAGGAAACCCGTCGTAAGCAATGTAAAAATACTTACTAATGACTATTTGTCGTGAAAAAAAAAACATTATTTTCGTCAAATACGGTCAAACGGAACTCTACTGCTAATCGCGCTTTAGACTACGCAATGTTTTTTCGCCACTATCTATCTATCTATCTATCTGTCTGTCTATCGTTGGATGTGTTACACCCTTTTATACAGTCTATGGTTACACCAGCAGAAGTGTTTTGCTGGTCATGTGAATATGCCAGTGTTGTATTCCATGCATAGAGGAAATTAGCACAATAATAGGCCTACTGCAGAAATAACATGCAATACATGCATCACAGCCAGAGATGAAGTTGAGAGGTCAGAATAAAACTCACTTCTATATGTGCGCGTGCCTCTCTTCTGTCTGATATTGAGCACCTGTCAGAGATGCAGAATGTTGTTCAATCCAGATATCATGCATTAACATCTCTCTTTCTCTCTCACTAACACACACACACACACACACTTACTTTGGGATCTGCAGCACAGCAAAAAGCAAAAAGCAGCAACAGCAGGTTTAGTAATAAATTCATGTTGACCTGAAGGTTTCTCTGTAAACTCCTGCAAAACAGAAAGGTTTGTTACACATTTCATATTAAAATTATATTGCTCAGACATTGCTTTTTATATATTCATGGAAAAAATGAAATTAAAAAGTAATAAAAATATATATAAATATTTTTTTTAAATATTAAAAATGGCAAAAACAACAGTACTAAATCTTTAAAACTTGAAATGGAAAAATAAAAACTATAAATTGATACTAACATAACACTGGTTCTTATTACACAAAAATGGGTCATGGCATCAGCAGAAATGCAATGACAATCTGTTTCCACTTTGAAACAAAGTTTTGTGGTAATGTGTGGGCATTTTTAGTCTAAATAAAGAAAGGGTTTAATGGCTTCATGATCTGTTTTTCTTTTGTCTGACATTGTGAGTGTCCCGTGTGGAACAGAGATTTTAACAAGAACCACAAAACAGAGAAAAGAGTTTCTGCTTCTGAAAAGAAATTAGTAATGAACCACATCACACACACACACACACACACACACACAAAGACTTTCTTTGAGCCACTCTGTGTGTGTGTGTGTGTGTGTGTGTGTGATGAAGCTGGACAGGACGTTTATGGGTCTCTTCCTGTTGGCTGCAGTGCCTTGTAAACACAGATGATGATGCAGTATTTGTGTGTGACTTGAGAAAACAAGGAAGCATTTCTGAGGCACACAATGTCTGTGAGGATCACCAGCTAAAAAAAAAATTAATATGAAATAACTATTTAACAGTAATATGTGTTTGGATTAAAAAAAAAACACATTCACAATGAAATACATGCAACTAATGTAAAAAACTAATGTAAAAAAAATATATTTTTTTTATTTTAACATTTCAAGGGCAAAATCTCAAAAACGCATGCAAGAACAGAACAATGCACACTGTATCTACTAGATTACAACCTAACCAGTTTATCCAGCTTTCCTCAGCGCAACGGTTGTACATTTTTAACAATTATTATTCAGTCATCACTGACTTAAAGTGGGAAATCCCTGATGAGTGAATAATAGAAACACACCTGTTGATTTCTATGAAATCGCAGCTGCTTCTCCTAAACACAATTGTGAATGGAGATGTTTCTCTAGAGAAAAATCCCCCAGTAATCTCACATGCATCTCTTCTAATGTTTCAGTATATATTCCAATAAGGTCTCAAACTGTGCTCATATTTGCCAAGCTAACAAAGTCTGAGATAAAAAAGTCAGAGATCTCAATATAAACTCACACATTTCTCATCAAATTCTTCCAAGATCACTGTATGTCAATGGCTGACTCACTTGCATCTGTTTATTTGACAGAATAAACATCTGCCACTAAGTTAAAAGCAAATACAAAAACACATGCACATAAAGTCAGCACTCGTGCAGTATAATGCAGCGGTTAGTTGCATGTTCATTACGGGCGCGAGACGTTACAGGGAGCATGTTGTGCAGGAAACATATGGAGCCAGCTGACACGAGAGACAGAAAACACACACACACCCATGAGACAGAAACCCCTCCACAACACACACAGACTCAGCAGAAACAACACAAGCGGATCTGTCTGACCTGATGCGAGCCGAGCGTCTGCAGAATGGCACTGCTGTAAAACCTCACCCTCTCTTTCTTTCCCCCCTCTCAACTGCCTTTCCTTCCGTTCTACTCTCTTGGTATCCTTAATATTTGACCTCATTCACAATGTGCAGCAGCTCTCGTGAGTCAGTATGAACTCTCTCTTTCTGAGTCACATGCATATAAAACCACAGACTGGCAACGGCCTCAACTTAAGAGGATTTTGTCTACAACCTTCTTCAACCTCAAACTTGAGAATTTCAGTCTTCATACTTCTTCAACCTCAAATTTATGAGTATTTTTTGTTTGTCTTCAAACGTCTTCAAACTTGAGTATTTTTGTCTATAAACTTCAACCTCAACCTTAAGAGTATATCTATCTTCAAAGTTCTTCAGCCTCAGACTTGTGTATTTTCTCTTCAAACTTCAACCTCAAATTTGAGAATTTTTGACTGCAAATTTCTTCAACCTCAAACATGAGTATTTTTGTCTTCAAACATCTCGAAGCTCAGACTTCAGAGTATTTCTGTCTTCAAACTTGACAGTATTTTTTAGTTTACAGTCAAAAATATCTAAACATCCTAAAAACAAGACACGTTCATGAGAGAGTTAACTGCACAACATATAAAGACTTCAGTAGATGCATCTAGAACATAAGCAAATGCATAACCATTTGTCTTGATTTCACAGCATTTTAAGCATAAAAATCAATACCGAGAACAGGTGGCACAATCTTTAAAAGTAACAAAACAAATCACATTAATGTGTCAGTTTCACCTCTCCAATCTTGTTTTAAGAATGTTTTAACTGAACAAGTTGTTGCACTGTTGCAAAGGGAAAACATGCAACATTTGACATCCACATACACACACGTTTGTGTGCATTTGTGTTAAATCCGTTCCTTACTTTCGGCCCCAAAGGCAGAACAGTGCGCCATTGTCCAGCAAACAGAAAGACATGTGGGAGGGAAGAATAGACGAATAGATTACAGCAAACGTGATGAGTGAGTCAAAAAGCTTATAAAGGAGTGAAGCTGAGTCACCGCGTGCAGAGAGAAAGAGACACACACACACACAGCGTTCTCATTCCGAGTCTGTCTATCTGTCCTGCATCTGTCCATCTGTAAGCGCTCGATAAATACGAGGGCTGAACGAGCGCAGGATAAGAGAAGCTGCCTGCAATTTGAGGCCAAAACAACTAGTAACATGTTAACGTCAGCACATATGCAGATCTGGTGAGTTATGAGCAGCCTTTAAGGAATCTGACTTAAACCAACAAAGAGCCACCAGCACTGAAGTGTGTCTGTAAAGCACAGAGCTTATGCATTAGAGCGTGCTGTAAATGTGCTGACTGTGAGCCGACTGCAAACATACACCATAAACCTGATCTCAATAAAAGCCAGAGGCGGTTTGTACTCATTCTGGTCTGGTAGGTTAGTTTTGCAAGCCTTTTTAGATTAGGAGCAGTCTTAAAGGAACACTCCACTATTTTTGAAAATAGGCTCATTTTCCAACTCCCCTAGAGTTAAACTGTTGAGTTTTACTGTTTTCGAATCCATTCAGCCGATCTCCGGGTCTGGCGGTAGCACTTTTAGCTGTAGCTTAGCATAGATCATTGAATCTGATTAGACCGTTAGCATCTCGCTCAAAAATGACCGAAGAGTTTCTATATTTTTCCTATTTAAAACTTGACTCTTCTGTAGTTACATCGTGTACTAAGACCGATGCAAAATGAAAAGTTGCGATTTTCTCGGCTGATATGGCTAGGAACTATACTCTCATTCCGGCGTAATAATCAAGGAACTTTGCTGCCGAACCATGGGTGCAGCAGGCGCAATGATATTACGCAGCACCAGTTCAATCGAGAGGATGTGGTGCTGGTCCTTCAAGAGTCAATCTCAATCTGTCCATCTATAAAGCCTATGATTCTTATTAAGTGGGGGGTCATATTTCAGGATGTCATAAGTGTCTGACACCCGGTATCTCCCATGCGAATTACGTTTTTAGACGCGCAGTGCTGGACGTTCACGGTACAAGCATGCGGTTTCGTACTTGTGCAGATAAGAGCGGATTTACACACAGCAGAGTGTTATTAAGGGAATAACGAATTCCTGAGCATCAACATCATGCGAGCCTGAAGGAGCCAACATGAATGATAGTCTGAGTACTGTAAGTGCTGGATGAACATCTGATGACTGCAGTGTACTAGAGTATGCAGATCTCAAGCACTATATGCCTTTTATACATATACTGTGAAAATACAAAGTGCTCCTTGTGGTTAAACCTAAAGTAACAGGTTTTATTCAAGCCAAACCAGATCAATTGAGCTGCACCATCTTAAGTCACTTTCACAAGTTTAAATCAGGTACAAATAGATTATTAAAGCAACAACTGCACACTTACAACATTTACAATGTATAAACATTTTAAAAACTGACTGAAAGTCTGTCTTACCCGCACAATCACATTCTTTTATACTAGATCTATAATATAAACATACTAGACTTTACTTAAATGATAGTTGTATATTACATAACATGTCAATATTTATATTATTAAATGACTGAATCAACCTGACATCACAATTTACAAGTATAAAATAAGTAATTTTAAGAATCAGGTATAAATAGCTGCTTAAGAAAACAACTGCGCATGTACAAGTTAACAGAGCATTATGTATTCTTCAAATGCTATACACAAATTTGTAGTCTATGTAAGTAAAATATGTGCATAACTCTTTGGAAGTGTCTCAAATCCCAGTTTGTATACTATTATACCAGTAAGTATGGTTTTATATAATAAATGCTCAATTTTGCTATGCACTGTACGCTATGCACTGTAATGATAGGTAAGCAAAAATCTGATCCTCAAGTCAATATATATGTATATATAGCCTATATATATATATATTAAAAAAAATAAAAAATTTCCATTCACTTTGCAGTTTTGTAGAATATGTAAGTGAAATAATTGCATACTCGGTGGTGTCTCAAATCCCAGTTCGCTGCGAACTACGACAGCATTTTTGGGCATCATCGGCGCTTATGATGCCCCAAAATGCTGCTGTCTAGGAAGACAGCTCTGTGTTTTGAATCACAGCCCTGTTCTAAACTCAAATGCATAAAGCGAAACATGTTTAAGCGTGAAATAAAGCGTGTGTTCGCGTCTCACCTCTCGAAACAAGTGCGCTGTACTCCGCGTCCTCTTCAATGCGCGTTAATGCGTCCAAACTAAAGCGTCTCTCCGGATCTCCTCCGTGTCTCTGTGTCTGAGCTCGTGAATCTCAGGATATTTATGCCGGAGGTGATGATGCTGATGCGGGGCGGGGAGAGGGACAGGAATGTCCGATAAGTGTGTGAGATCAGTGAGTCAGTGATCCTAAGTAGGCTATGTGGGCACGTATGTACGCAAGGCAGTGCATTATTAGACAACATCAAGTGTCAGTTATTCTAAAGAAAGATAGCAAAAGCTATGAAGCCCATGTCAGCCACGGAAACATAGGCTTAAAATGGTAATCGCGATTTTTTTTTACCTCACAATTCGGACTTTTTTGACGTTGAAGAGATAAAATCAGAATGGAGAGATAGGCTATAACTGGCAATTTCGATAAAACATTGAGAAACATAGCTGTAAGATAAAAATTCACAAGAAAAACTACCTTTTTTTAATATAAAAAAGACAATTGCAAAATATGATAAGCTATATACCCTACACTCTCAGAAAAAAGGTACAAAAGCTGTCACTGGGGCAAGTAAAAAGGCACACCTTTGTACCTAAACAGTTCATATTAGTACCTAAAAGGTACAAAAGTGTGCCTTTTGAAAAGGTACTGCTGCCCCAGTGACAGCTTTTGTACCTTTTTTTCTGAGAGTGTACGCTATAAATTCAGAATTGTGAGATGTAAACTCAGAATCTGAATTCTGAGTTTATTTATCGAAATTCTTCCTTTTTTCTACCAATTCTGAGAAAACAAATTACGAGATATAAACAGGCAATTCTGGCCTTTCCCCCCTCAGAATTAAACAGTGAAGAAGTCCGAACTGTGAGATAAACAGTGTTGGGGTAACGCATTACAAGTAACGCGAGTTACGTAATCAGATTACTTTTTTCAAGTAACTAGTAAAGTAACGCATTACTTTTTAATTTACAAGAGAATATCTGAGTTACTTTTTCAAATAAGTAACGCAAGTTACTTTTTTTTTCCAATTTATTGACTGACAGCTCTCCTGTCCCCATGTTGAGAGAAATCAGAAGATGTTACTGTAGTTCTAAAATAAATATGAATATGCATTAATTCATCTCACTCACAAAAAAATTCAGTATTCCTCAAAATGAATAAAAAAAATGCAACTCAAAATATTTAAACCTGCCATAATTAAATGTTAAACAACACAAATATCCTTTATGTATTTATTCCCATTCTATTAAGCAATGTCTTTGCTTCTGACCTTCGATGATCCAGTTCAACCGTACTAATAAGCTAAAATTACTCTAGACAAACATTTGTGTGTTTTTTTTTATTGCTGAAGTGTGTTGAAATGTCTTCTTCTGCATTCTACTGTACGGACGTAAATTTACTGTACTGTTTACAGCCTGAGGCTTATTCATTTCACTTTTGGTGTGAAAAGGCTTTTACATTTGCCAAAAATATAACTTTTTTATTTTAAAAACAAACAAGCAAGCCCTGTCCAGATTTAAAAAGCAACGCAAAAGTAACGTAACACTTTACTTTCCATAGCATTCATTCATCTCACTCACCAAAAAAACACAGATTCAGTATTCCTCAAAATGAATAAAAATAATGCAACTCAGAATATGACGCAAACCTGCAATCATTAAATGTTAAACAACACAAATATCCTTTATGTATTTAATCCCATTCTATTAACCAATGTCTTTGCTTCTGACCTTCGATGATCCAGTTCAACCGTACTAATAATCAAAAATTACTCTAGACAAACATTTGTGTGTTTTTTTATTGCTGAAGTGTGTTGAAATTTCTTCTTCTGCATTCTACTGTACGGACGTATATTTATTTCCTTCAGCCTGAGGCTTATTCATTTCACTTTTGGTGTGAAAAGGCTTTTATATTTGCCAAAAATATAACTTTTTTATTTTAAAAACAAACAAGCAAGCCCTGTCCAGATTGAAAAAGTAACACAAAAGTAACGCAACGCATTACTTTCCATAAAAAGTAACTAAGTAACGCAATTCGTTACTTTTTTATGGAGTAACGCAATATTGTAATGCATTACTTTTAAAAGTAACTTTCCCCAACACTGGAGATAAATAGTCGCTAATAGGCCTATTAATAGAACTACTAATAGAACTACTAATAGAACTACGCCTGCTCTGAAAAAAATGGTGTAGCCTACAAACAAATGCACATCAAGTGACATTTTGAAAGTAGAAAGACTTCTTGTAAAACTTACTTCTATAACTTATAAAAAATATTTTTTACAGTGTAGCCTATGTGAAATTGAGGAGAACTGAAAACGTCCTACATCAAACAAAAATAATAAAGAAAAGTAAACAGCCTACTTAAAAGTTGTTTCTGATAATTACATGAGGCTTTAATAGCAGAAGACAAGAAAATATTCCTGCTTCCTATTTTTCCGGCTGTCTAATTTCACTGTACATCTGTTAGTCCATATTAGACTGTTCATGAAGACTGTGCTTTCCTCAGCAGAAAATTAAGACGACAAATTAGAAGACTAAATTACCTCGGGCGCCTGTGCTGTTAACCGCTAACCCCTGGTGTATTTAGTAGCTCATTCCACTATTATGTGGCCGCATATATTCTGGTACGTGTGTGTTTTGAGGGAAAAATCATTGTGACGTCCTAACTTCAGTCATGGTTCTAAACACGCTGGTTTTGGTCTGGTTTTCCCCGGATGTGGAGGTGACAAGATCTGAGAAAGGAACAGTTATAGTTGCTAGTTAAAAAGAGGCTCACATTAACTAGCGATGACAGCTCCTATTACTATTGACAAAGTGGCAGCGTGATTGTGGGATATTACTTTTTTACACAATAAACATTAAGTTAATATGGAGTAGCCTAACTTACATTTTAGACACAATATTGCCAGTTGCTTTGACTGTTTTTGCTCCGCCAACGAAAAAAATATCCAAACAAAGCCAAAGCAAAATGTTTCTTCCTTAATCAAACATATTGCTGTTGAACGAATTGGTTTAGTGAATGATTCAATGACTCACTCAATTGTTTCGTTGCCTGCATGAAACCGTGTTGTTGATTGAACCGATTCTGTAAATGATTCAGTGACTCGCTCACTTGTTTTGTTCATGAAGTTCTTAAACGAATAGAGTGAATGATTCAATACTGTATTACAATACAATCACTGTATGTAATGTAACCTGCAGAAAGAAGCAATGTAAAATCTTCACCACTGATACACAGACTGACAAAATGTGGAAAGGTAGCTGTTTTCGGTATGTTTAAGATTGAATTTAACTTAACTTAAATTTGCATAATGCAATGCTACACTCTAAAAAATGCTGGGTTAAATACAACCCAGTGCTGGGTAAAATAGGGACAAACCCAGCAATTGGGCTGTTTTGACCCAGCGGTTGGGTTACTACCCAGAAGGTTGGGTTAAACATTTCACAACATCAAAACAGCCCAATTGCTGGGTTTGTCCCTATTTTACCCAGCACTGGGTTGTATTTAACCCAGCATTTTTTAGAGTGTATTTTCATGCAGATTTATTATTTTTTATTACACACTACAAGGAGCATCACAAACAATTTGTCATTAAGCCAACAATTATAGTAGACAATGCCAAATTTATTCTAAACCAGATTAGTAAACAAGAGAAAGAGAACTTCTTGTGCTCTTTGTGACAGTCTGTGAGTTAGTATTGTGTGACTCAAGCATGTTTATTATCTGTATAATGCTACACTAGGATTATCTCCTTGTTTCATCAAGTATCAGGAAACTTCTGTATAAACACATGATGAGAGAAGCTGGGGCGGTTTAGGACGTCACATCTATGCCGTCTTCATCACTTACACCAGAACATCAGCGAGTGACCAGAATTTCTTAGATGTGGCAACATGTGATTCTTAAGAGCATCTGATTAAGAAGATTTATTAAGTGTTTACCCCGCTGCTGTTTATTTACTCAGCGATGACGTTTCCACAGGCCACATCTGAGAGTTTCTGTATCACTCAGGACAAACTAGCCAAAAGATCCATTAGATTCACTTTCATTCATTCATAATGACGCAGGACATCAGGCTTATCAGCGGCTATTTAGGGACACAGCAGCTCTTATAAAATTAAAATGGACATTTCTGAGGAACAAACCCATTAAAGCTACCTTTTACTTAGACATTTAAAGAAAAGAAACAAGGGCCGTGATCTGGTGATGGTGTCTCCTGAGAGCTCTGAGACACAGTCAAATAATTTTATTCCATAAATAAAAGTTTTTTTTTTTATGTAATTGTTTTCTGTTGAAGAAATGAATGCAAAGGCATTCATTCAAACAAGAATACTTGACATTTTTATCAAGGTGCATTGCTCCCAATAGATATATGACAATTCTGTAGAAATCTGTACAGATTCAAACGTCAGTCCTTTGACAGAAAAACAAACAAATGAAGGAAACTTCAACTTTCAAGGCTGAGAGAGGTTACGTCTGTAAATCTGTCCTTGTGGAGGGTGGCACCGCAGGAAATCATCATCAACAACTCACTTTTTTGAGGAAATGATCCCATCAGGATGCAGCAGTGATTCAAGCGGTGTGTTGTTGTGAGAGATGCAGGAGGAAATTAAAGCCTGAACATTTATACAATGCACAACATATCTGTAGGTAATTCTGATTTAAATATAACTTACATGAAAATATAGTAATGAAATTTTAGTGGCATTTTTCACTATTTGAATGCACATTTACTCATTAAAACTAGTAAATTATCATTACAAACTTTGATGTTGGCTTGAGGAAACCTGGCCTGAAAATCCTGAAATTTGGTGATGATAGATAGATAGATAGATAGATAGATGATAGATGATAGATAGATAGATAGATAGATAGATGATAGATAGATAGATAGATAGATGATAGATGATAGATAGATAGATAGATAGATAGATAGATAGATAGATAGATGATAGATAGATAGATAGATAGATGATAGATGATAGATAGATAGATAGATAGA